ACGAACAAGATGAGCACAGATAGAGTTTCATTGGCGAATAGCCGAGCTGGCTAACATTAGTTCTCATATTAATTTGTAATTTTGACATTTGAAGCCAAAGAAAATTTAAATTTTTAATGTTGGCTTTATGAACACAGTTATTAAGACCTTATTTATGCATGAAGGTAATAAACACTTATTCAGCACAGTTATTGCTCAAAGGGTGTTTTGCAACAAATAAAGAATAGGAGCTCATTAGAATAGATCTAGTTATGGAATAGAATAAAAAAACAAATTTACCTTGATAAGTTTGCAAGAATGAATGAATTGAAAAGACTTTTCACTACCCAGTTACCCATTGAATTAATTGCTAGAATATTCAAGGAACAAGTCATTTCACAATCTTTTTAAACTTGACCAATGTATAATAATAAATAATGAAAATCACTTTAAAAAATTTAGGTTCATACCTTTTTAAAACGTAAACCACATCTGATCTTTCCAAATGTCTAAGTGATCGATGTGAGCCTATACCAGTGAGTATTTTTGCCAGTATAATCAAAGCGAATCGAATTTATATTTTCATATTTGACAAAAAACATATTAACAAAAATGAAATAAATGAAACTGTGCCGTACCGTCTATAATAATATTCATGGGGCGTGCGATAGACTTACCTCCACGTGGTGCACCCTGGGCAACGTATACTCATACGGCAAAATATTCTATTAACCGACAGTTGACTTCAAACTACTATGGCCCCCCTGTATGACATATTCGACAACTTCCACAGTACTACATCACATTTTTTCTAAATTTTCAACATTCGTCCTTGAAACACTCTTCAGTTCCCCTTCTCTTGACTTTCTTCACTTTGGTGTTCCTTCCCCTCTGTGAAGCCTGAAGTCAACTAAAGAGCTAATGATAGCCATCAAAACGCCTGCCATTTGATATAAATAAATAAACAGAAATATTTCCATTCACTTGAAGTAAAAGACTGAGAACTGGAGTTGTCTATAATGGAATAAGTGCCCATTCACTGAGTATATGTCAGAATGTTCTGTTTCCTCGATTTAACCCTCAATGAGTCAGTATTTTGTGACTGATTCCTGCTACGATAATCGGGAGCTTCCTAGTTTGCCGAGGTTTCAGTAATTCCATCCAATCAAAAGTATCGATTAATGCCATGAATGGGTTAATATCTTCACGGTCAAATTTTTCAAGTCAACTAAAGTAGAGCCGCTTTTCTGAGAAATGCACGGTCTACCGTGTTTCTTGTTGATTTGAAGTTTATTAGGGCACCCAACCGATCGATGTGCGTTGATCTTGTGACCCTTGACTTATTAGACGCCCACATGGAATCTAGCATAAATCTTTGGAAGGTTGTGGGCGTTCAGCTCTGTAGCCCATACATTTAACATCTGGTCTCTCAAATTCATAAAAAATCGCTTCTTCTGTCTTCGGTAAGTTTGATGAGCTTCCCTTTGTTCATGAGCCTGATGAAACTCTTCTTTGGGATTTGTTTGAACATACGCAATTACGCACTTCGTAGTCTTCTCCTTTTGGTTACGATTGGCTGGTCGTTTAGTGACATGGAGAGGTTTGGTGTATAACTAAATCCAATTTTGTGATTAGTAGCTTAATAATAGGAACAGTAGAAAACGCTAATCTCGTATCTCAACAGGAAAAGGTTAATAGATAATTAGAGAGGGATCGATCATATATCATCCTGAGCAGCGATGCGTTCGTTTATTGTAGCAGACAAATAGAGCAAGGGAGACAATATTTATTTATTTATATCAAATTGCGGGCTTTATGATATTTATCGCATAGAGGAGGAACAGACAAAATCACAAAAAGTCAAGGGGTGGGGAACAGAAAAGTGTTTCAAAGACACAGAGGTAGAAAAAAGGTGAGGTGAGTATTGTGGAAGTGGTCGGATATGACTCACAATGGGGTCATGGTAGTTTGAAGTCATAAGCCAACTGCTGATTTATAGACTTTTTGCCGTATAAGTATATGTTGCCCAGGNTATCAAAACGCCTGCCATTTGATATAAATAAATAAATAAACAATGTGGGCAAGAGGAGAGTGGTCCCGTGTCTTGCTCCTTATTGAAAGTGATTGTTAGAGCTTGTGCAGGGTCATGTAATATACTGTATTTTCTACTTTAAAAAATTATATTTATGTACCTTTCTGTATAGTCACGGGTTCTCCTTTTTATCTTGGTCATCATATATTTATGTACTTCATAAGCGTGGGTCTAAAAACTCGCCTGTAATGATAAGTGAAAATTCTTTGTCATTTTTACTAAAAATCACCTATTTTTTTCCAAAATATAAACTTCTCCATAAAACTAAATTAATTTAAAAAATCCGAAAAGTCAAAAAAGTCTAACGAACTCTTGAACTAAACGCAATGCAATTTCATTTTAAATATAGGCCTAAAAATTTCTTCAATGTGTGTCTTATATGCTACCATTTGTATATTTTTTATTAAATTTTTGCCAACAACAAAAAAAGACATTTTCTTAAGTCATTGCCTTCATAGACAGATGTTTCAAATTAAAGTTAAATTTATCGATTTCTGTTTGTGTGGCGTCACTTGAAAATTCATCATAAATTATTATTAATATTGCATAGGGCTAATTTTTAAGCCAAGCAATTTTAATGGCGCCAAACCCACCAGAAATAATAACTACCCACCTCCCCCCCCCCCTCCTTTTTCTAATTATATCTGACAAATTGACTGAACAAGCCTGTCACCTGATACCATTTCAACCTAAACGATACTAATCATCATTGGGGGCGGCTGAACTGGATTTTTGTAACTATGACAGGAATTCATCCCACTATGAGATCCACTGTGAGGCAGCTTGTTATTGCACCTTCAATGTATAAGCTTTCGCGAAAAACAGAGAGCAAATTCAGTATTTATCTACTAATTCGTAAAGTATGTGATAGATAACCTTAAGAAGTATCAGTTGTCTAATTAACCAAAGGACACTTACAAATTACTGATTGAGAGTTGCCATAACCATGTTCTTCAAGTGTATTGAGGAAGGATTTCCTAAAATTCAATCTGAACAGAGGTGGTACGTCTTGGAGATATTGGAAAGAGAAAGTCATGGTTCGATATCGCATTATTGACTAATTACAACTAATGCATTGACGTGTATCATGACTTATCAGATGTTTATGTTGATCATTTTGTCGTATGCGCACCTGGATAACCTTTAAAACCTACTCATGGACATAGGTAGGTACAAATGAATTAGTATATACAAACAATTCATTTACATCAAGTCAATAAAATCAGAAATATGAAGTTTTCCTGGTTCTTTAAATTACTCTATGTGTCTCACTATATACTACTATTCGATCTCCCATTCTATTCCCATTCATAAAAAATCTCATAAATATGTCTCTCTAGGCTACATTTTTTGTTTTCAAGTGAACATTTCAATTAATCGCTTATAATTTTAGGATAGCATGATAATTAAAACATGAATTAATTAAATTGTACAAAGGGGAGTGAAGAAAGCATTCAACAGTAAATCTGCCGCCAAAATTAGTTCAGACTCCCATTTCCTCAGAGTGCTTAGTACTTATATCAGTCACATTTGACTCCATCTTCTATCAGATTATGTTTATATTTCTCACTTCGGGGTGTGCGATTGACTTACCTCCAAGTGGTGCACCCTGGGTAACGTATTCTCATACAGCAAAAAAGTCTATTATTCGGCAGTTTACTTCTGACTTCAAGCTACAATGGCCCCACTGTGTGTCATATACGACTACTTCCACAGTTCCCACCTCACTTTTTTCTACCTTTTTGCCCGTCTCTTTTACATCTTTGGAACACATTTCTGTCCCCCCCCCCCTCTCACGAATTTTTTTACTTTGACGCTCCTCTCCCTCTGTGAAGCCTGAAGTCAACTAAAGAGCTAATGATAATTATCAAAACGCCTGCCATTTGATATAAATAAATAAATAAATATATCTCAATTTTGACTGATGATCAAGAACTTATTGTTTGTGATTAAAGCATAATTTTAAACTCTCCGAAATTTAAAATTTGTAGAAGTATCAATGTCAATTCTTATACAATGGCGAGTTAATATTCAATTTTCATATCCATTCCGTGTTTAACACTGAGTCACAAGTCACTCATACACAACAGCTTTTGGTTTTTNTCACTACCCAGTTACCCATTGAATTAATTGCTAGAATATTCAAGGAACAAGTCATTTCACAATCTTTTTAAACTTGACCAATGTATAATAATAAATAATGAAAATCACTTTAAAAAATTTAGGTTCATACCTTTTTAAAACGTAAACCACATCTGATCTTTCCAAATGTCTAAGTGATCGATGTGAGCCTATACCAGTGAGTATTTTTGCCAGTATAATCAAAGCGAATCGAATTTATATTTTCATATTTGACAAAAAACATATTAACAAAAATGAAATAAATGAAACTGTGCCGTACCGTCTATAATAATATTCATGGGGCGTGCGATAGACTTACCTCCACGTGGTGCACCCTGGGCAACGTATACTCATACGGCAAAATATTCTATTAACCGACAGTTGACTTCAAACTACTATGGCCCCCCTGTATGACATATTCGACACTTCCACAGTACTACATCACATTTTTTCTAAATTTTCAACATTCGTCCTTGAAACACTCTTCAGTTCCCCTTCTCTTGACTTTCTTCACTTTGGTGTTCCTTCCCCTCTGTGAAGCCTGAAGTCAACTAAAGAGCTAATGATAGCCATCAAAACGCCTGCCATTTGATATAAATAAATATTAAAATTCGTTAAGTAAATACCGGTTTGTTGTAACATATAATAAAAATATATTATATTATTTTAATGTTTTAATACAAAAGTATAATAAAGTCTAGAAACCAAGCTCCTTTAAATCTTGAAACCTAGCACTTTATATCCATCGAATTCGCTTATAATCTTCATTGGCGGCATTTTCGTTTTATTTAAATCTGACTTATTTACTATGGCTTTTTGGAGTCAGTATTCTCACCTAACTATTGTTGGAACAGAAATTTTTACTAATCCTCTATTTTCTCAATTAATCAAGGTATTTTCTGTCCTCATGTTATATTCCATAGGATGTCGGCGAATCTCTTTCCATAACATACATTCCAACTGTTGAGAAATTAAAGGATAGACTAATTCACCAGCGAAACGTTGACTCTGATTTACCTGAAGCCATTCTCTTACCTGATTTTACATCCCCGAGTGAAATTAAATCTCTCCAGTTTTCTAAACTTAGTATATATGGTCTGCCTAGTCTCTATTCTTTGCGATTTGGTTGCAGGCATTGGACGAAGAATAAACCAGTTTTTTCATTCGCGATGGCTGATGCTATCGTAACAATAACGGGGTTTAGAGATTATGATGTTGTTGTAAGTTAAATATTTTTAATTCATGCAATTTGTAGAATCATATCGCTACTCTTATTAACTGGATGGGTGGTAGCGTGCGACGCAAGCTTGATTCAACTGTAACCCACTTAATCGCATATCGTTGTGCAGGAGAAAAAGTTCGGAAAGCGGCTCTTACATCAGCAAATGTGACAACAATGAAAATTTCTTGGGTTCAGGAAGCTTGGGATTCCAGACATTCCAATTCACAATTGAATGCTTGTGGAGAGGATTTTATTGTAAGTTTATATTTTTCAAAACTCAATTTGTAATTCTCAGGACAAGCATCGTGCGAAAGTTTTTCAATCCTGTTGCTTGTACTTCATTGGGTTTTCCAGTCAGCCAAAAACATTGACCGAACTAGAGTCGGCTGTTATAGATCACGATGGCACCTTAGCAACAGATCTCTCCGATGAAAAATTGACCCATGTCGTAGTTGCCGATGGTTGGCATAAAAATGAACAGAATATCGTAAGTGAACTGTAACTATTTTACAATTTCTAGGATATGCGTGCCCTTATTGTCAGCCCAAATTCAAGCCTCGTCGCAAATTCTCCCCGTTCAAATTCTTTCGCCCTTGATCCTGAATTACAGGAGCAACTGCATGAAGTTGCCGTTAGAGTTCCGGTTTTAAAATTAGATTGGTTCTGGAAATCCCTACAATCAACGTACATATGTCCACCCCAAGACTACTATTACATACCTGAACCTGAACCCAAGGATTCGCCTTATGCTTCATACTTTTCCCAGCGCACATCTCTTGACGTCTGCTCTCCTGCTTCCTATCGATTATCCATGGAGATTTTGGATAAAGAGAATAAGCAGCCGATATTAGAATGTAGTGAAGGGGAGAATTCTCATCTAACTAACACTAGTGATACAGAAATTTCTGTTCGATTAAGACACAATAGATCAAACGAGCAGCAGCTGAGTAGAGAGGAAGTTATCGCCCATTTGGCCGATCCACTCCTTGTTCCCAACTCTGGAAATTCAAGTCGTATATATTCTCGTAGCAGGGCCTCCTTTACCCTATTGGATAATCCCTCTCCTCTATCGGCTTCAGTTCAAAATTGCTCAACTCCCACTTCGGAGAGCCAAAGAAGGCCTCTGTCGACTGATTGCTTGGAGGAGAAGTCAACACGCTCTCCTATCCAAAGAATCCCACTTGAGTCAATAAAATCTCCAATCGGTTAGTGGTTTCCCTTTTATTTTAACGCATGCTTCATTCATTAAGAAAACTCCCCAAAGAGGTTCCGTAATTCACCTGCAAGAAGTGAGGTAAAAACTCCACAAAAGTCACGTCTTAAGGACCGGGAGCATCGAGTCTTCGAATTCTTTGTTACGGAAAAGAACTACTCTTCGATTTTGGAGTTCCTTACTCAATCGGCTCTTCCTGTGAGTTTATTATTTATTGATGCTTTCAAGTCAGCTCATGTTCAAATCTATTTATTAGGATAGATATGGCATAACACTTAATATGGGTTAGCATGAACGTTAGCTCAGGTGTTAGTGATTAAGAAAGCCATAGGGTCAAAGCTGTTTGCCATTATTTCGGATCCCTGAGTTGATGGCCTTTATGTTCATCCATTGTCATTCCCTAAGCGCTTTCGAAAATGGGCTTGTCCTCAATAAATTCCCTTTGGCCCCATCCCTTAACTTTTATATATTTGGGGAAATGGTTGTAGGTACAATTAGCTGACTCTAAAGCGCCCTATTCGGATATCCAAAAGTTGATTTCTTCAGTTGCCATTAAATTGAGTTCACTCCTTTACATATGAATCAAGTTGCCTCGTTTGACGATTTATGTCCGCTAAGTTCAGCAAATTTATTTGATTACCCTAGGCTAAGAATTACTACCCCTCTCTTCTGCTAATATTTGATTATGTTACTTAGACAAAAGTTGATTTGATGAAATTCCAGATAAGCACTGTTAAAGCCTAGACTCGTGCTATCTTTGTTGCTGCCTTGAGAAGCTTAGCAATGATGACTGTCTATTTACCTTCATTGATCGCTTATGTTCGTGGAACACAGTAGGTTCTCCTACTGTTTCAGCGATGTTTTTTTTCTAGCTCTTCTTTCATGTACTTCATTGGGACCATTAAGTGTGGGTTTTCGAAAATCCAGTACAACTTAAGCTGTATCTACCTGAAAATTTTTATTCATCCTTTTTTTCATTGTATCCAGTCGTCCAATATTTGGTAACATCACTTTGGTTTATAATGCAGTCATAGAACTCGAAACTGAATAATTATGCCCCGATGTAAGTGCCAATTCGTTGAAATTGTATTTTAAGATCTTTGGTGTTTTTGCTACACACAGGACGTGCTCATGGAGAATCAAGAGGGTGGTCCTATTTTGCCACGACAAGAAGCTGACATGGTGTTTGGTAAACTTATTCCTATCTATCAGCTCCACAAACGTCTCCAAGCACAGCTCATGGAGTTGGAAACGTCTTGGAATATGGAAACTAGTCGCCTTGGAGAAATCCTCCTTCCTCTTATCGACGAAATGGAAAAGGTACGCGTTTGATTTACAAATGCCTAATGTTTCGTGTAAAGTTATTGCTGAGATGTGTAGTCCATTTAATCATAAGTAAGTAATTGGCTGTCGAACCACATAATTTAATTTAATTAAAGGAGAGCTTGAATTTGCCTATCGGATATTTGCGCGTTGGCCCTAAGACGCTCTCGGTTTGAAACAGTTCAGGGTAATAGGGACACTGGATGTTTGTTTTAAGAGCAATCTGTATTGGGAGTTATTTTGAGTAACTCTTATCGCTGTTAATACCTAACTGCCTTCGCTCAAGTTATTTATCCCAGCTTTTAGTAGGCAGTAAACCTAAGCCCATCTGCACCTGTCAAATTCCCATCCTTTTTTTCTACGTATCAGGAATATAATTTAATTGCTCATTCCTGTGTCATTTAAACCAGATGATGGTTATAAATGGCAATAAACTGTGTCCTTCCTTTATGCCTCTATCATGTCGGCTTGGTAATGCTTTCTACACAATATTCATTTCGTTAAGCTACTTTCATTACAGCCACTACTACTTATCTAACTTTCTTCCCAATAATCACAGGCTCTCACTAGTAGACAATCGCTCCTCCACTTAAGTGAATGGTGAAAATAATGGAGCAGATTTCCCAATAAACGATTTCATATGATTTTGCAGAGAATTTAAGTCATTTTAACTTATCTCTATCTCTTCGTAGCCTGTTCGAGTAGGTGAAATCGTAATGCAATTGAGTGGTGTTTAGCCATCATCACTAGGAAGAAGTGGAACCGAAAAGGTTCTTGTTCCCCGATAGTGCTGTGGCTACCGTGCACGTCTGATACCTATTAATGTTCATCTAATGACGCGTTAGGTTTGCGAAGTGGCTAACACGCGTATCTGCTGATTCGTAACTCATACCATCTGTGCTCTTTCCACACAGTGATGTGAATGATCAAACACACCTGTTGTTTCTTGTGGAACGGGAAGGGGAGGGGAGGTGGCGGGATAGTACAATGTGAGATCATCAGAGCAGTTCCGGACTTCTTTTTACTTCCTAACATAGGTTCTATTATTAGCGCCCATGTGGACATTTTAATGACTAGTCCGTCAACGTAACGTCTCACCAACCAACATAGAACCGAATGGAAGTATCAACTCATATACTAATTTTTGGGACTCTGATCTGCATTTCCTTTTAAATCAGGTTCTTTGCTCAAAAAAATAATTTCCTCGTCTTGTAGGTATATACTCACTATATGCAATTCTACGATGAGCCCCACATCAAGCAACTAGCTCATGATTATCCTCGTTTCCTTGCCTTCATGCGTCAAGTTGAACTTCGACGGGAGTATGGACGCCAAAGTATCTGCGATCTCCTTATTCGGCCTGTTCAACGACTTCCATCCATCCTACTTCTCATGCAAGGTCAGTTTCTACTTTAGGTCGTCTTGTTTTTAGGGCTTTTCTTTTCTCTTGACTAATACAACTTGTATGGTGACTATGCAATTGTCGTTTCGTGTAATAAGTAATTATGTACTTCATCATGTGGTAGTCATTTTAACGCATTTTGTAACAGCTATCTTGCCAAATCGGATAGTGTGGTCTTGTGGTCTCCAAAGCTTTCTCCTTTCGATCCTATTTACTAAAAATGGGCTATTTACAAATCTTATGCAGGCATATTCCGCTAAAACTTAATGTTCAATAACGCGAGATGTTGGGACTACCTATTGGGATCCTAACTCTTAATTTCGCATCAAAAGCCTACTTGTTGCCCGTATTTTCGTCTATTGATTCTCGAGCATCCGTAGATCTGGTAATCTCATCTGTAGTTGAACTCCAATCTTCCCCAAAGGCAAATTTTCTCGTGACACTTTAATATACTTTTGTTAATACTCTTAATACTTAACAAAATCTATCGGGCAAGCACTTTGTTCGCCTTTTATTATATTGCCACTCGTCTTATAAAGCATAGGAATTGATAGGAGAATGTGATCTATTTAGTGATGTCAACTGTTGACTACCGTGTCTGTTCACAGATAATCCATCCTTAGTTAGGTAATTTCATGTGTCTTCCATTCCAGGAATCCAAAAATTTACCCCACCCACTCATCCCGATCATGAAGATGTCGTGGCTTTCACCGCGAAACTCAATACCCTCCTAGAGAAGATTAACGCCCGATTGAAGAAAACTGAAGAATACATGTCTCTGCTTAATCTTTACCACGAGATCAGTGGTGCTCCTGTAAGTTTGATCTTGCCTTGCTACTGAATCGATTTAAGTATGCTTATAACGTTTTGTTTCTTACTTTCTAGCCAGAGATTGTATCCGCTTCACGAAACTTGGTCACCTCACTTAGCGTGTTCCAACTAGATATAAGTCCAAATGGTACAGCCGTCTGTGAACCCGTTATTATCTTCCTTCTTACTGACTGTCTTGAGATTGTTCGTACAAAGAAGCGAATTACCGGTGACAACCATGCCATTCAGGCAGCCCTAGCAGCTGTAGAAAGTGGTACCTTAGCAAATGGAGATGCGACAGGGACAGAGAGCTCACTTGGAGTGGAAAAGCGGGGAAAATCAGTGTCGAGAACGAATTCCGGTGCTTCTGCAGGGTCCAGTACTATCGGTGGAAAGAAGCGCTACAAATACGTGCATGTTCATTTTGTTAAACTGCAGGATATCACTCGGGTTCTTGATTTAAGCACTCTGTCTCCAGAACGCGCTGCATTCTCCCTCATCATTCGGAACGCTAGCTCAGAGGCTGAGAAAGCAGAGGAGGTTCTAACCTTCTGCTTGGCAGCTAGTTTCACTGCTAGTGCAGCAGTGGCCACGGGGAAATGCCCAGAAGCAATTGAATCAGCTGTTGCTTCAGCAAATCTATCTGTCATTAGGCCTACTGTTTTAAAATGCGGAACATCTGTATCAGCAGTTGATTTTGAAGCCTCTGCTTTAGCTACTTCAACTCTTGCAGAAGCAGAAATAGACGACTTATCTGTTGTTAATGGAGATCAAGACTGTGATAGCACCGTTGCTAAGTTACGCTATTGTGTTCATGAACAGAAAATGAACTTCTTGAAATGCCTTTGCAGGTATATTATGCAGGTGTCCTTCGTGGCCAATAGTCCAGATGAAATCCTCGTTGAGATGCAACCTGATTTAGTTCTCAATTTCGATCTGGATTCAGTTTTTTCTCACACAGTAAATGTATCCTTTAAGACGAAAAAGTAAGCCAAAAGTATTGTTTTTTGATGCTTAACAAACTTTAGATTCTCTCGACATTTGGGCCGAGCCATCTCCCTAAAGACACCGCATAGACCGATTCTCAAATCAGTTCAACCCGTTGCACCGCCCGCGTCAGTATCGAATCCAAAATCATTTCGTGGACAAAATGGATTTCTCAAAAATTCAACCACACAGGGTTCTAATGAACCGCCTTCTCCCAATCTTTCCTATCGATCAGATTCCGTTGACATGCCTCCACCATCGCGTCCATCCGTTCTTGGGTCTATACTTGGAGGGGTTGGTTGAAATTTTATTGGCTAAATATTCTTTGCCATTGTTATCATTATTCACCTCCAAACACGAAATCCCTGTTTTTAGGAGTAAGCAGAGATCTGAAGTGGTCTAATAATAGATAGAATGAATGGAGATCTTGAATAAATTTAGAGTTCTAAATGTGTTTTCGATTCGTCATAGGTCTGGATGCTAATGTTCAAATTTGTGGTATTGTGTCGCCCACTTTCTAATTGGATTCGTATTTGCAATCTCCGGTTGGTTAATGGAGCGGGTTGTGTCCATTTTGATTTCATGCCCAATATTTATTTCAAGTGGCAGGCGTTTTGATAATTATCATTAGCCCTTTAGCTGACTTCAGGGCTTCATAGAGAGGAGGAGGAGGAACATCAAAGTGACAAAAGTCGAGAGGGGGGCAGGATAATGATTCACAGATGTCAAAGAGACAGACAGTCACAAAAGCAGAGAAAAGGTAAGATGAGTACTGTGAAAGGGGTCGAATTTGACATACACTCGGGTCATGGTAGTTTGAAGTCAACTGTCAGTTAATAGACTTTTTGCCGTATTTGTATGTGTTGCACCACGTGGTGGTAAGTCTATCGCACACCCCAATATATACTACCAGGTGTGAAAATTTTTATTTATAATGGGCTCCAACAGAGCTCGCCTGGGTTTGCCTTGAGGTAATTAATGCATGAAATTGAAGGGTGCAAAGCTTTCAATGTTGGCGTGAAGTTGTGCGATTGAGGAAAAATAATAAGTTTTGACGGGCTTTGAAATTTTGCACAGTTTTATGTTGAAGGAATATTTAAATAAACGTCCAAAAAAATTCCTCATGAGTGGAGTCGTTGGAGAAAAAAAATGTTAGGCTTTCTGAACAAGCGGATGCAAATCTACAGGTGTCCACGTAATTTTTATTTTCTATCACAATTCAACATCTTTCTTTTTGGTGCTTCTACCATGTCTGCTCATTTCCACTGAAAATTTCGTTTTCGCCTTGATTGGTTTATCCCAACCACAATACTTTCCATATACCCTCTTTCCAAGCGTCTTTTAAAATTGTTTGGCTGCAGCGCTAGACAGCATATTGTAACCTATGACCTTAACAAGTATTTTATTCATTGGATGACTTACTATTATTTCCTTTTGTTAGTTTCTTTCACATGGAATCAGGACCCCTAAGCAGTCTATGCGAGGTCTCTCAATGACGGATTTGGACGCCGAAATGGGTGCAACTATGTCCGCTAAGCGTAAGGCTCAAACCTCATCTCTTTGGTTGGAATTCGATTCAGATGCGGAGGATTGTGACAACTCGTTGGTGGCAGATAATCGTGAAGAGGAGGAAGGCGGTGGTGGTTGCGATAGCAACGTGGAAGGTGAAGATGAGGATGACCTCATCTCACTGAATTCCTACAACTCAGCTGGCGGTCCCTGGCCAGCTTTCCTTCCCTCTGGAAGTCCTGGTTCGAAGAAGTCCAAAAAGATGTTGAATCCTGCTACTGCGTCGTCTACTTCCCTTCGTTCCAATTCTTCCAGGCGACTGAGCACTGGAAAGTCGAGGCAATCTTTCGGTGGACTTATGTAAGATTTCAGTATTATATAACTTCGAGACTTCGTTTGCAGTGTTGTTTAATCATTACCGCTTTTTCGATTCAAGTCTTAGTTTTGTGCTAATTCCTTCAACAACGAGACGGCTCAGGTCAGTTTCGTAAGCATCTAGAAGCTGCTTAGATTAATAGCTACTTCCGCTGAGATTAAAACCGCACGAACCATATTTGTGGAAATTGATCTAGTTTTTCACATGAGTAGGACAGTGAAGCAGGGGGGGGGGGCAGTGTGGACAATAGGATGGAGAAGACCAAGTATTTTAAGGAGGAGTATTGGATGGATACTTTCCTCTCATTTGTTGTTAGGTTTTAGCAGGATAAATACTTTCCGCACCACAATCCTCTGCCGAAAATAACTGAAATTGCATTTATCTGATTGAAATATCTGACATTTTATCAGCCTGGTGTGCATTGACCCCTAATAGGGCAGCTTTGCTAAGCCACGTCACAGTAGCGAAGCACGCGGGTTTCTTGTTAGACTCTTTCCTAGCTCTCTCCCTCCCTCTTGGCGACCATATTTCCACGCACCTAATTAACTCCTTACGAGGCAGCACTTGCTGTGTTTGACTATGTATGTGCCGATCACATGCTCTGGTTCATTTGCTCAAACCTTTTTACACCGCGCTTGACTTTAATTTCACATTCCAACTCTCCGGCTGTGAATTTTGTCCCACTGTTGTAGTACAGAGTTGAATTAACATGATAATTAAATATATCACTCCACCACCATCATCATCATCATAATCGTCGTCATTAATTAGTTGTTCTAATTAAGAAACCATATGGATGCGAGAACGGAGGGAGCAGAGGTGTGCCAAATTTCCGCACTTATCGGGGCACGTGCGTGTTCAGGTCTTTTGGGATAAATTTCTTCATCTTCTCCAAGCCCATTTGTAGGAACCCGAGGTGGGGGTGGGGGTGGGGAGTGGCTATTGCATTAATGCACACTAATTGGTTTTTACACCAAATGATCTTACTGTGGAAGCTTTTTCTTCATTGTTGAGACTTCACTACGAGTGTTTGATGGAGCTGGCATGCGTGCCGACTGACGTAGAAGTGATGAAATCGATTTTCACCGTACAACCTTAATTACCTGACTTTTCCGCTAGAGGCCATCGCATTTCCGATATGGCTCTCTTTGTATGTAACGTTCTCCCACTTAAGCTTCATTTATCTTTATTATTTTGGTGTTTTTTTCTTTTGTAATTTCTTTTAAGCTAAGTGCGTGTTATGCTTTGTTGAAGTCAATTTCGGCGATAATTCACTTTATACTGCAACTTCTTCCTGAGGTGCGTTCTTTTGAGGCAAATAGATTTTCGAATTTTAAATACTTGTTCCAGTGGTTCTTGATTTCAGCCTCATTTCCAAGTTGCTTTTTCTCTTAGTTTATTCTTCATGCACTTGGAATGGTAGTAATGGAATGTGGCGAGGTCTGGCGAATATGGTAGATGTGGTATAACTCAATTGCTAAGTATTTTGGGAGGTCATTTTGTTTGTGTGGCTGGGGAGGGGGGGGGCGAGCTCTGTTGAAGGAAAAGCAGCGTGTGATGTTCGTCTACTTTCGAGGTTTGAAGATTTTGCCCTTGACAATAAAATTAAGTTTATTCCCCATGGATATTGTTGAACAACTTGGCTACGAAGAAAAAATGAGGGGGCTGGCTTCTCTAAAAGCTCAAGAATCTGTTCATCTCCCTCTCTCTCTAGTGTATTAGACCAAATGATCGCGTCAGGCATTATCCGATTTGGAGGACCAAGGAGAAAGTTTATTAATGTCAAATGGCAGGCGTTTTGATGATTACCATTAGCCTTTTGATTACTTCAGGCTTCACAGGGGGGGAGGAACATCAAAGTGAAAAAAGTGTCGAGAGGGGGGAAGGAACATCAAATTGAAGAAAGTTGAGAGAGGGTCACAGGGGGGGAGGAACATCAAAGTGAAAAAAGTGTCGAGAGGGGGGACAGAAGAGTGTTTCAAAGATGTAAAAGAGACAGACAAACAAAGGTATATAAAAGGTGAGGTGAGTATTGTGAAGTAGTCGAATATGACATAGAGTGGGGTGATGGCAGTTTGAAGTGAGAAGTTAACTGCCGGTTAATAGACATTTTGCCGTATGAGTATACGTTGCCCAGGGTACACCACGTGGAGGTAAGTCTATCGCACACCCAACCAAGGAGAAAGTTATTGTTGGAAACGTGTGCAAATTTGATTGGTGCCTGGTGACTCACAATTTTCATCCACTTCATTTAGTTTTACTCTTAATTGCTGTAGAAAAATGCCATTATCTACCCACGATATCGCCTAATATGAAATTTCGTTGGCAATTTTTTGATTTACGTTTTTTTCCTCTCATTTGTTTTTTTTCTCAGCGTATGAATTTTGGGTTTATCGATCAATTCAGATAGTGCCATCAGCTCATTGGAGCTTCGTTTTTACCACCGATCGCTTCTTCATTTACTCTTTTTAAACAAAAAGGAAAAATAGTATTGGTATTATCTTTTATTCATCCGGGTTTATTTTTTATTTCGGCCGGTTAGTAGAAAAGTTAATTTAATTTGGTTAATTAATTTGGCCGCGTGTAACAATTTATTCTAGTTGCAGTTCCCTCTGTCACTCATCCGACATCATTTATTGCTCTTTTATCGATCGCGCCCAAATTGTGGCGAGTGTGTCTCATCGTCCTGTCAACGCTAATACATATATCAACTTGTGTGTGTTTCATGCGGGATTGCCCTTAGTCGCATTTCAAATGTAAAAATGTGGCGTTTCGAAATGCGTTATCGCAAAACAGGCAAACCTTTATTCACTTCGTGTTTTTCACTAACTAGATTTCCATGCTCAGTGTCCCCGATGACGTTTGTTTTGGAAATTAAAAGCCATCTTTTATAATTTCAGGAGTGCCACCCGCAAAAGTATCTGTCGTTCATTCTTGGGTATTCATAAGACACCCAAAGAAGTCCAACCCCCAGCTGCCAAACAATATCCGCATCCCGATCTATCGTCTAGTTCCTTTCAACCCTCCTCCACCACTGAGGATAGACAGCGTCAAAAGCAGCTCCAACTCTCTGGTGCCATTTCCGGCTCCAATCTCTCCCTATCAACAGCTCCTCTGGCTAGACAGGAGGACATTTCAAATGACAGTGTGGAGGGAGAGGGCAAAGAAAAGGAAACGACCATAGTCAACGAGGAAGAAGATACCAGTATTCATCGGCAATCCTCTTTTCAACCACCACCAGGGGCCTCAAATAATAACGCCAGGTTGAATAGTCCTGCACCTGGTCAATTAGATAAGGCTCGTGGTTAATCTATTTTACCCCTAAATATATACATACATATATGTGTGCTCTTGATATGACGCATTGTGTGTTCGAATGGCTTTTATCGTTTTCTTTTTTTTTTCTTTCGTCGCTTTCGTGAATTGGGTTATTATTATGAGCCTTGGTTTCTGGAGTTGCCTGTCAATTAGAAAAGCCCCCTTATTGGTAGATTTGCTTTCGATTTAGTGCTCATCTCCTACTCTGTGCCCCAATCATGTATGGGTTTTAGTGAAGAAGAGTGAACGAATGGGGTCCTATCTAGTTTATTATGCTTCTATTCTCTGTGTCACGGTATCATGGGTGTTATAATATCGAACTGATTATTTGGAGGTCACCCTCGATTGGTTGTTCGAGCTTCAGCAAAGATTTCTTTCCTTTTCTGCATTAACTTTCCTTGGGGGGATGTACTAGATGTGTTGACCGCTTGTTTCTTGTGTCTACTTAGCTGCTGCGGTGAATGTGAGAGTGAAACTCCATTAAAAGGATCAAAGGATCCTTCATAAGTAATGAAAGTGACTTGGAAGTGTCACTTCCTTACACCACACGAAACACCATGCATTCTGCGGAGATTCTTCACTATCCTTGCACGCGGAGGACAACCGGTTTGCAAACTTTAAGTGTGGCAATCACTTGAAATTTTCTCAGACATTTGCCTCTCTAGAATTCATTGCATGGAGTTACTTCGCAGTCACCGTTCAGGAAATATTTCGTGTTTTTTTTTGTCAGTGAACACTTTACTTGTATTCTCCATGGAACAAATTTAAGAGTGACTAAGGAAACATTCCAGCCGGCATCCGGATTCATTCCAGAACTGGAAGGAGAGGGGATAACTTTTTGTCGCCAATGCATGAAATAAACCTAATTAGCTCATGTCGCACTTCATTACTGAAAATTCCTGTCTTTTCAGGTTTATTTCTATCGGTCTCATGATTTCTTTCTCAGTTGTTTATGGCCTTTTGTTTAAAGAGCCTTGGATTTTGGAATTAAGTAATTTGTTTCGTCTTTTTTTTCAGTCATCGTCAGAGACTAGGCTAACCTTCTCCGGCAAACATTCCCGAGCCAATACCCTAAAAAGGATGCTCACTTCTCCATTTCGCAAACCGTCGCAAACAGCGGGCTGTAGTAACGGGGGTGGAAGAGATTTCAAGACGTCATCGCCCGAAGGCATCACAAGTTGGAGCAGTTTGATAACCCTCAACGAGGAGAACAATGAAGACGAAGACGCCGAGACAGAACACGATAGACTAGCTGGTGTGATCACTGCTCGCCATCAAGGCCAACGAGTTTCCGGTGACGATACTTGCAGTATGATTGTTCCTCAAACTCCTCCCCTCATTTCCGCCCTCAAGAAGTTTCGGTCTAAGAGGAAAGAGAAGAAATACTTTCGACGGTCTTATGGAAGTGAAATCTTCAATCGCGCCGATGGTCTAGATGAGGAGAAGAAGAAGCAGAAACATGAAGAGCTATCTGTCCTCCCCACGGTTCCAGAGAGCTTGGAAGCCGCTTTAACACCAGATGTCTCGAGATTGGAGGAGAGTGAAGAGAATGAGCAAGGAGGAGGGAGTGAATCGCATCACATCGCCGCAACCCGGAGAGAAAGTATATTTAAGAGAGGATTTTTATTTAAGTAATGCAATCATGACAGTGGAGTTTTTATTGTACACCCCTATTCCCCCCACTTCTCGATGAAGTTACCTTCTGCCCTTATTGTACTTGTAAAGTTGTGTCTGTATATTGACAATAGATATTTGCCCTATTTACAGTTGGTTCATATTATCTTTTTCTAACTGTTTTAATGGAAGTTGACGGATTTAGGGGGGG